CTGGTGAACTGATGTTTGTCTCTGTGCCGTTAAACTGGAGAACAAAGCTGGTGCTTTTGTCTCCTTTATTCCACTGCAGAGTGATGCTGCTCTCATTTTGTCCTGATGCTCTGAAGCCCTCTGCATTTTCAGGAGCTGAGAGGAAAAAATGAGATTTAGAAATGATTCAACATAGAGTCACTGATTGTGTCTCCAGAAATAATGTTGCTCTTCTTGCAGTTGAAGTTATTTCACAGTCTCTCAAAGGTGATAAATTCATATATTAAGTTACATTCCTCCAAAATCAACTTCTAAGTAAAGTTTTGTTTGAAACTTTGATGAAAATAAATCTCTCACCAGTCACTGCAGCAATGCTGACTCCACTGCTTCTGATGCTCTCAAACACAGAGAAGAGAGTGAATGTGTATCTGGTTCCAGGAGTGAGAGATGAAACTGTCAGAAGTAATGGTTGTTGTCCAGCAGGTGGTGCTATATTCAACTCTGTTTCATTATATTGGAGGATGAAGCTGACATTGTTATTAACAACATCCCACTGAAGAGTGATGCTGGTCTCATCCTGTCTCAGTGATGTGAAGCTTTCTGCATTTTGGGGGGCTGAAAGAAAAGAATAGGAGCTAAATTATGTCTTCAGTTCATTGGAGTTTGGTGGTGAAGTGACTTTCTCAAAAACCTCATGTCAATGAAAAATCGTTGACCTTGGTTTTGAATAAGTTAATGTTTTTGTATCTTACCTGTTACAGCTGTATGTTGTACTCCACTGCTTCTAATGTTCTCAAACACAGAGAAGAGAGTGAATGTGTATCTGGTTCCAGCAGTGAGAGATGAAACTGTGTAGTTCACTGGTCCATCTCCATCTGGTGAACTGATGTTTGTCTCTGTGCCGTTAAACTGGAGAACAAAGCTGGTTCTGTTGTCTCCTTTATTCCACTGCAGAGTGATGCTGCTCTGATTTTGTCCTGATGCTCTGAAGCCCTCTGCATTTTCAGGAGCTGAGAACAAAATGAGATTTAGAAAAGATTCAATATAGAGTCACTGATTGTGTCTATAGACATAATATTGCTGTTCTTACAATACAAGTTATTCCACTTAACAGGTGATTCGTTCAGATCTTAAGTCACATTTCTCCAAAATCAACTTCCAAGTAAAGTTTTCTTTGAAAGTTTGATAAAAATAAATCTCTCACCAGTCACTGCAGCAATGCTGACT